GGGCCGGGTGGCGGCTCCCCTCGGCCCCCGGCGCCTCCGCCCGGTAAGGCACGGGCCAGCGCCTCGGCCCCCGCCTCACGCCGGAGGGAAGTCGCGCCTGTCGCCCTCCTCGGGGGAGAGGTCCCACTGCTCAGCCCTGGGACGGCCCAGCGCCCGCTGGAGGCGGCGGGGCTGACTCATCCCGCGACCGCCGCGGCGTGGCAGGCGGGCGGCCGGCGCCGGCCGCCCTTTCGCGGTCTTGGCGGCCGCAGGGGAGGGATCGGGCTGTGGGGTGAGGGGGGCCGTGAGGCGCTGCCGCCTGAGGGGAGCAGAGCGCGGGAGGGAGCGAGCCTCGAACCCGCGGCGTCGCTGCCTGCGCTGCGGGTCCCTTCTGTGACGCCGCACGCGAAACTCGTCTTGAAGGAGGGAGAGAACGTTCTCGGCTTGTAACGCCGGCCCTGCCTCCGGGAGCCCTCCCGCGCCCGGGCGCTGAGGGAACCCGAAGCTCCTTCATCATTCCCCGCGGTAGCGAGGCCGAGGTGGCCTCCGAGAAGCTGGGCTGGGCGGAGGAAGCCTCACCGGCTCCGTGTTCGCCTTCCCCGCCGTGCTTCCTGCTGCCTTTAATGACGTTTATACAGGTTTAGCCGTCTGTGAGACTTCTGCCCCTCTCAGCTGTTGGCGTAACCCGCCCAGAAGTCACCGCAGGCAGCCGGGTAGGCCGGGCAGTCTCATCCGACTCGCTTTCTTGAGACTGGAAACAGGAATAGCATCTTGCAGCAGCTCTTTCAAAAACCCTTTTTCTTTTCCAAAGGTAAGAGATGTGTGGTTGTAAGGACTAGGTATCATTTGTCCAAAATCTCAACTTCTATAAGCTACCTAAAGATATTTAACTACAACTCAAAACGTCTGTGCCAAGGTCTCCCATTTCTTCACTTTCTGTGGTAAGGTATTTTAAGGAACTTCTTTGTAAGAACTAAACTCCATTTGATCTGTCCCTCCATCTATTTCTTATGTAATATTGACTGTGGACAGTTCAGTTAGAAAGATCACTTTATGTGGCAGTTAAATGACTACTTGCTTGGAATTTTAGTTTTCCACAAATCCACTCAAAATAATCTAAATCAGTAATAGTGATAAAAACAACAGAGGAAGTTATCACAAAGTAAATTATACCTTATCTATTAAAGTAATATGAATATCTCAAGGTTTATGATGCATCACTTATTTTATTAGTAATAATGAATAAAAAAGGCTAATATGTACTAGCTGCTAAAAGTCCCACCTGCAACCGTGCACATGTAGGGGAAATACAATCCCTAGTTGAAAATGTTTACAATCTAAAGTAATGGACAAAGCACAGGATCTATAAAACGTAACAGCTTCATTAATATTTTTGTTTACATGCATTTTCAATCTGTGCGTATTAGGATGTGAATTAGAAGTGGAAAAGGGAGCATGTAGAAGAAGATGGAAAAGTTTATTCACAGCTTTTCCCTCCTTAGTAACACGATCTGAATTTCGTAGACTTTGTGAGGGCTGGTGCAGCATAAGAGGTAAACCAGAAGTTTAGGTTTCATCAAGGCATTCTGTCCTTGCAAGGCATGTTCAGTTTTACTTTTTGCTCAGTGACCGCTTCACAATAAACCAGGAAGTGCTTTTGAGTTACCAGTGCAGAAGCTGGCTGAAAAATTGCCAGGATCACAAGTGTTTCACTCAACTGCACTCTAAACACTGTACGTAATGTTTCTGAAAATGTTCCCTTCTTGTTGTAGTTCAAATGTTAGCACTGGTATCCATCATTGCACCAAAGACCTTCTCATCCGTGGGAAGGATCCTGCCAAAAGAGCGAATGCGTCTGCTGATAGGAAAGGTTGCAGCTGTTGACAGGAGCACTGGAGGAGAGACAGAGTATCAAGAGTTCAGTACACAGAGGCAGGTTTACAGCACGGCAAATGTATATAGGTTTGTAAATGGCCACAAGTTTCAGTAGGGTAATTAAATATAAGAGGCCAGATTTATAAAGTAAACATTCTTTAGCAGCCAAACAAGGCTTAAACAACTATGAAAAATGCTAAATAGTAAAGTTCTGGAAAATTTAATTGCCCAAGTGTCCTAGGGTGCAAAGTGTTTTTCCTATTTAATCACTGAGTCTTTCTGGTTTAAGCAGCCCATATAGCAAATCCAGATATATTAGGTCTTCAGCAAGCTAAGTTTTTGTATCTGACATTTTCCCTTCTGAGGACAAAGAGATCGGGTACCTAGCGCGTCTTCAGCTCGCACAAGGCAAGAACAAAAATCCTAGAGCGTTCAGTTACACGTAAACCAAAGCTGGCAGCACAACCCCGCCCAACCAGGAAGGTGAGATCCAGTAAGCACAACTGCAAAAGCAGAGAGCACACCAACAAGTGAGCTGGTCCAGGTACGGTGCAAAGTAGTACAGGAATGGAATTGCAAAGAATCAGAATAGTTCACAACTAATAGACACATTACTATCAAATACTCCAAACTGAATTTACTGCTGAACGAAATAATAATCTATCACCGTAATTTGCCAGTTACCTTCTTAAAACCATCGGGAACACCAAGAAATCAGGCAGTCCTGTCTGAAGACACATTTAACTACATCCTATGTCATCCTATTTTCAAGAGGCTCTTGATGTTGAAAATTCCTCAGGCAATCTTAGTGCTTCCCACGATCAACTGTTAGACGATCTCAGTAAGAGCAACTAAGTTTCTGTTGAGTACAGTCTTACCTTTTACATTAAGAAATTACGTGAAGGCATCCTTGCAACATTAATGAACTTATGTGATTAAATTAATGTGCTGTACTGAGCAAGAATTGAAGAAGTTACCATTTGTTTCTATCTGTTCTTTAAACTGAGAAATCTACCTGTTAAGCAGGTAGTCTTTCTTCCTTCAGGGCTTCCACTGATTACATCCATTAACCCTTGTTTAGAAGGTGCTCGCATACTGCATTTACATACAAGTTGTTCAATTTGGGGAGCAAGACCTGGTTGCAAAGAGCTTTTCCCTCAAAAAAGTACCATTGTGCTATCTTCTGAAACCATTTTCATCATGTTCACTAGATACACAAATTTGTAAAAAATCCCCAACCCTACCATGAAACAAAAAGAAGTTTACAAAGCAAGCTGCTGTTTTTAGAAAAAAAAAAAAAGGAAAGCTTGAAAAGAAGGAAAGCTAGTCTCACTAGTTTTAAGCTATTTTAAGGAACTAACTATAAAATACACTATTGCTTTCTCTTTCAACCCTGAGCTGTTCAGTTTCAGCCCTTCCTACAAGTACTAAAACTGAACACTGGCTACAAATAAAACAATTTTTCATGCAACTTCATAAACTACATCTTAGCCTCACTAGTTCGAGGTTCTCCCTAAAACAGCAGATAATACAATCACTAATCATTACTAACAGTGTACATTCCAAGACTGATAATACCAACTCATGTAAACTTGCATAGAAATTTATAGTCAAAAGTGATTTACTTTTATTTCAGGCTATTTATCAGCTTGTTCGTATATTGCAAAACGCATCTTTTTTATTTAATAAGGGACAATATGGTGTCAGAAGTTAATGTTCTAGCTATTTTCTCTACACTATTATTTCATTCTGTTTCCATCTGTACCACTGGTATATATTCCAGTCTGAGAGCCACCCGATACTGGTGTCTCCCTCGCTCCCCAGGCAATGAAAACAAAATAGTGGTGTACCTTTGTTGTGGCATTTCTCAGAGCTGGCTTGTAACCATCCCCTCTAGCCCTTAAGTTTCATGGGCCTCATTCAATTCTACTATACTTGGTAGCACGCAGGGGATCAGGATGCACCTGCAAACTTGCAGCACGTGATACTTCCTTGAGTTGAAGGTTCCAAGTTGGCACCATTCACGGATAATGTTTCATGTAACAATAGGCTGTTGTTCTTTCCAGCTCAGTTTACGCACAGCTAGAGCTTCACCAACCTATAAATAAATGGTACTCTTGAATAACCTCAAACTATTTGTATATTGTGAAAGAGGGGGGACTGTTTGCATCTTCTAGAAATAAACTAAAGTGAAAGATATTAAGAGATGTATGAATAAACCTTTTCAGTAAATGTAATTCACAGGTTTATAGTCGTTTAGAAGTATTTAACCATAAATATCTGGTAATTAGACCATTACA